TGTCTGCGATGTGTTTCTGTAGTTGCTATCCCCATTATGATAGTGCCCTGTGCTTGTGTGTACTGTCTGCTGTTGGAGAGTACCCACATTGTCCTGTAAAAATGGTAGAAATGGGTCTGGGGGTCAGTACAGTTGAGGTCTTAGAAGTATCCCTATTTGTTACATTGTAAAGCGGGCTCCCTTTATGCAACTTGGAGTTATGCGCTGTTTTCCAGGAACGCAGGTGTAGCATAAAGTGAGGGAAACCTGTACTTGACACAGGGCAAACTCAAGGTGGAGCAAATCTAGTCTGGAAAGACTGCCGCACAATTTGCCTGGCTGCATATTGAATTCAAGGGATTCCTGGGTTGCTGAGGGGTGAGGAGAGGGTCTGCTGACATAAGGCAAGGAAGATGGACGCCTCCATAGACGAACTTGAGTAACGGTATCCCTCGAGGCAGAGGGAGCACATCTCCAAGTCACCTGAGCAGACGCTGACCCCACCCTTTGGGGCACAAGAGGCTGTGCAGACCCGAGCGGAGACCGCATCTGGGCCCCCAGCGGGGCTGCAGGGGGAGGAGATTTAAATGCTCTTCCAGATGGTGCCTGCCCGAGTATCCCCTGTGCGTGTGCGTGTGTGTGTGAGAGAGAGGGAGATCCCGCCCGCTCTTTGTTCGCGCGCCGCCCGGCGACATGCGAAGGGCACGCGTGTGACACGCGCGGCGCAGCCCTCCCTGGCCCGCGGGCTCCCTACGCCCGGGCCGCGGACGCGAGGGGACCGCAGCCGCCAGCGGCGTCACGTGGGGGCCGGGCCGGGCCGAGCCGAGCAGAGCGGGAGCTCCCGGCGCTGCCGCGCGGGGCGTCGCCCGCTACATCCGCGCGGGGAAGGGGAAGGGGAAGGGCAGGGACAGGAGCAGGAGCAGGAGCAGGAGCAGGGGAAGGCGGCTCCTGCAGCCCGCGCCGCTCCTATGTGAAGGGCGCGGGGCGGCCGCAGCCATGAGCTCGGCCGAGCAGACCGTAACGTGGCTCATCACCCTGGGCGTGCTGGAGTCGCCCAAGAAGAGCATCGCGGACCCCGAGGGCTTTCTGCAGGCGTCGCTCAAGGACGGCGTGGTGCTGTGTCGCCTGCTCGACCGCCTGCTGCCCGGCACCATCGACCGGGTGAGTCCCCGCGCGGCCCCTCTCCCCTTTGTGCCGCGGCGCCATTGGCGGCCCGGGCCCGGGCGGGAGGAGGCGGCGGCCCCGCCTGGCTGCGGGGGCTTCCCGGGCGCGGGAAGGGGCTTTCCCCGCGGGCCGCGGCCCAGCCCCTCCTTGCAAGGTGGCTTGTGTTGGGGGGGCAAGGGCAGCTGCGGGGCCCGGCCATTCCTCACCTGGCCCCGGGGCCACATGATGCCACCCCTGTAAGCACTGGCTTGTGTGGGGAGCGTGTGTTGTTTTATTTAGGCCTCTTATTTTGTACCATTTCTTCCCTCCTGTAAGCATTAAGAGGCATGTTTTAAAATGCTACACAGAGCTCCTGCACTGGGCGGTTGTGTCAGCCTTGTCATAGAAGATGAGGGCTGCAAGGGACCTCGGGAGGGCATCTAGGTTGGCCTCCTGCTGAAAGCAGAGCCATCCCCGACTAGATCTTCCCAGCCAAGGTTTTGTTTAGCCGGGGGCTTAATATTGTTGTTTCCGCCTTTTTAAATTTTTCTCTGTCCCTCAAAAAAAACCCTGCCCCCTTCCCCCATGGCAAACATAGGTTACAATTTGGAGTTTGTGTAAAAGGCACGAAATAAACTCAGTTATGATACAGTCATGCTGTTTGCCATACAGCAGTTCCTCTTGTGTTCCCAATTCAGCGGGTTTTGAATCCTTATACCATGCCCCAACATACAATATAGTCTTTCATATGACTGGACAGGTAGCCCAGGTATTCCAGTTCTCACTTTTCTCCTGAATAGTAGAGGAATTGGTATTTGTCTAAAGGTGAAAACAGAGACAGGTGATTCCCCCCCCCCAGCAGATATAGAACCTTTGACCTACCTATGGGCACCTGCTCCAGCTCTCTGCTATTGAACTTTACAAGATAATGAGCAGAAGAATGAAGGAGATCAATTGTTGGTATTTTAAAAACCTATGTTTTTAAAACACATTCAGATAAACAAGGAAGAATTGCCTTGTAATTGAGATATTGGACTGGGGTTAAGGGAATGCAGTTCTTGGCACTACTGTGCACCACTAGTTTGTATGTAGAGACCCTTGTGGTACTAGGTTCCTGACAAACAGGTAACCAAAAAGGTCACCCCAAGCACCAAAGAATTTACAATGTAATGATGAGACAAAAGGCATCATGCACTTAAGTGGAGAAAAAGAAGTTTATGGGCAGTGTGATAAGCAACAACAGTTGTGACCTGTCACCTGCCTTTGTGAATATAAGCAAGTCAGTCTTTCTCTGCCTCAGTCTCCCCCTCTGTGAAACACAAGTGATAGTTTTTCTTTTACTTCTTCTCTTGCCTATGTAGGATCCAGTCTTGCAAATAGTCAAACATATTCTTAATTTACACAGTGCAGAAAATCCAAAATTGAGGGTCAGTCTACCTTACAGAGCTACTGCCACTACTGGTGCATCTGTGTTGTCAGAGGCTGGAGATGCAGTGTATGCAGACAGAGGCTTGTTTCTACTCATGTAGTTATACTGTCTCCAACAACAGAAACTGAATTGTGGCAAATGCCCTCTTTTTGTCAGTGGAGTTGCATGTAGACTGGGGGCTTTGCCACCATATTTAACTTCTCAAGGGTATCTGCTATCTTATCATACCCCTAGTTATTATATCTATGTGAGCAAAACTTTGTAGTGCAGATCAGACCTCAGTCCTGGCTGCATCAGAGTTTATCTCTTTGGAACAGGGACTGTGTCCTACTGTACACATAGATAGAAGTGTAGAATGAAGCCCTGAACATAATTTGGGATGTTAGGTGCCACTCTAATGCAAATAATAATAATAAAGAAAGCTTAATGGAAAAGATGATAGGAACAGTATCTCATTATTTTATTTTATAAATATAGTATGACAAGATAATAGTTTTATCTCACCCCCCCCCCCCCCC